CCTGCGTTGGCAGACGGATTCTTAACCACTGCACTGTGGGAAGCCCACAGTACTGGTCCTTTTATGATTCTGGGTCTCTTTAGGTTTTCTGTTTATTGAAGGAGTTTTGATACATCACACATTTTCTAGGAGCTTACTTATTTCATCTGGAATTTTAAGTTTTGTTTTAGCTATATCCCACAAGTTTTGATATGGCATGTATTTACTGACCAATTTTAACCTTTTTCTGTTGGCTATTATGACTTTCTATGTGAATTATTTAGTAAATTAGAAATTTTGGGGGGACTTCCCTGGTGGTGCAGTGGTTAAGAATCCGCCTGCCAATGCAGGGGACATGGGTTCGAGCCCTGGTCCGGGAAGATCCCACATGCCGTGGAGCAACTAAGCCGGTGAGCCACAACTACTGAGCCTGTGCTGTAGAGCCCGCGAGCCACAACTACTGAGCCTGCATGCCACAACTACTGAAGCCTGTGCACCTAGAGCCCGTGCTCTGCAACAAGAAAAGCCACTGCAATGAAGAAGCCCCTGCTCACCACAACTAGAGAAAGCCCGCGCTCAGCAACGAAGACCCAACGCAGCCAAAAATAAATAAATAAATTCATTTTTTAAAAAAAGAAAAGAAGAAGAAGAAGGCTGATACCGTTTATGTTCCTGGTACGGTAGGAAGGGTAGGAGTGATGTCGAGGACTTGGATAGGTTGGCAAACACTTTTAAAAAAAAAACAAACTTTTCAGATGCTTTGGAGATTTTTGGCTTGTACTTTTCTGTTAATTTTTAATTGTATTGCATTGTACTCAGAACATGTTCTGTACAATATCGATTCCTTGGTAGTTTTTGAGATTTGCTTTGTGGTATTCTATTTGGTGATTTAAAAAAAAATGTTTATTAGTGTGCTTGGAAACAAAAACAAATGTGTGTTTTAAAATGTTGGCTATGGGCTTCCCTGGTGGCGCAGTGGTTGAGAGTCCGCCTGCCGATGCAGGGGATGCAGGTTCGTGCCCCGGTCCGGGAAAGTCCCATGTGCTACGGAGCGGCTGGGCCTGTGAGCCATGGCCGCTGAGCCTGCGCGTCCGAAGCCTGTGCTCCACAACGGGAGAGGCCACAGCAGTGAGAGGCCCGCGTACTGCAAAAAAAATAAATAAATAAAAATAAAAAATAAAATAAAATGTTGGCTACAAGTTGTATATATCCGTTAGATCAAGCTTGTTACTTTTGTTAAAGCCGTTTATATTCATACTGATTTTTGTCTGTTTGATCTCTTAAGTCTTTATTACAATCTCTTAAGATTATGGTTTTGTCATTTTCTCCTTGTACTTCTGTCAATTTCTGCTTTAATTATTTTGAAGCTTATGTAGTTAGATGAGTTAAAGTCCATAGTGACTATAGCTTTTCTCTGATTTGTTTCTTTAAATGTTAAAATGTAATCTTAAATAATGCATTTCACCTTAAAATCTATTTGTTCTGGTATAACCACCTGGTACATATTTTTATATCCCTTCCCCTCCTTTAGTTGCCTTTTTGTATTATTATTTTGTAAATGTGTCTTATAGCTGGTTTTAATCTGATCTGAAGCACCTCGTCTTTTAGCAGGTGAGTTTAAGTCATTCATATTTACCGCAGTTTGTGATTTATGGTTGGTTTTATTTCCACCATCTTATTTTGTGCTTTCTAGCTTTCATGCTTTTTCTTGCCCTTTTTTCTTTTTATTTCCTCTTTCTCTTATATTGAATGAGTTTTTAAAATTCCACTAACCTTCCTACCACTCCATACACTTTTTGGAAGTTATATATTCTCTTTTAGTGTTTACCCTTAATTTTAACATACTTACATGACTTAAAGTCTAAAACTAGTCAAATTTTCTGCCTTTTTCTAGGGAAGGGCCCTGAAACCTTTGAATTCTGATCATATCTTTCTATCTTACATGTTATTGTTGTTTAGTGTTTTAGTTCTGCCTTGTCTTACCTGTTCTCCAGTTAGTCATAATTACTACTGTTCTATACAGTCAATGCCTATTTACATTGACCACATTTACCAATTTGTTTGCTCACTTCTTGTTTTGGTATCCCAGTTCTTTCTTCTGGTTCACTTTCTTTTCCTGAAATAAGTCCTTGAACTTAGTTCTTTGAAATTAATTTTGAAATTCTTTGAGATAAGTCCAAGAACTTAATTCTTTGAATAAGAGTCTTTAAATGGTAAATTTTCAGTATCTTTTTGTTTAAAAATGTTGGGGTTGTTGTTTGTTTGTTTGGTCATCACTTTTGAATGATAGTTTATCTGGGCATAGAATGCACAGATGGTTGTTTTTCTTCCCATTTCTGAGATAGTTTCTGATGTCTTTGTTTCTGTACTTGCTTTTGAGAAGTCTGCTCACAGCTAGTCTAGTTATTCTCTCTGTAGGTAATCTGTCTTTTCTCTATGGCTGCTTTGGTTTGAGATTTTATCTTTGTTTTAGGTGTTCTGAATTGCACTAGGATATTCTACTTGGGACCTGTGCTTCTTCAATCTGAAGACTTATGCCCTCAGTTAAACTTGGAAAATCCTCAGCCCTCATCTCTTCAGTTTTTTGTTTCTCTTGCATTCTCTCCTTCTGGAATGTCTGTTGCAATGTGTGTCAGACCTCAACCTGGCCTTTGTGTCTCAGAATGTTTTAAATTACTAAATATCACACATTCAAGAGAGTAACTATATCTATAGCTTAAATAATAATAATACATAATAAAACAGTAATAATATTAGAAAATAAAACACCTGTGAGGTCACCGCCAGCACCTTGAGTAGTAGACCATGACGTGGGGTAGGAACTCCAGGGGAGGAGCACTCACAGGGGGAATTAGGTGAAACTACCTGGCTTGGGTGCTTAGTAGCAGCTCCTTCTTTAAGGAAGGATACGGTCAGGGGTGTTGGTAGAATGGATTCCGGCAGTTGTTAAATTTTGGGTAACGTTTTTTGAGCACTAGAGGTGCTGGGGCGGTACCAAGTGCTTTACCTTGATTGTCTCAGTTAATTCTCACATCAGCTCTTGAAGAAAGAATTCTAGCGTTCTCATTTTACAGGTGAGAAACTGAGGTCATTTGGCCAGAGCCTCGGGAGAAAATGGCAGCGCCACACCCCAGCCCTGGCAGCCTGGTCCCTGACCCTCACTGCTTCTCGGCCTGTCAGTGACCCACGTGGCTTCTCATACAAGACCCAGGTTCTCTGTAATGTTGTGTTTCTTCCTTGGCGTTTTTGTTTATGAATTCCTGTTTTTGGTGATGCAATTCAGGAGACCGAAACTCTGGGTTGAATTAGTTTTGCAAGAGAAAGGGGGAGCGTGTGAAAAAACCCAGGCCTCAGGTCCGTAGGCTGGTGCACCTTCACACCTCAACTCAGAACTCACCTTTCTGCGCAGAAAACCTTCCCAAAGGCTGGAGCCCCCGCACAGCTGCTTGAATGTCCTTCTTCTGTGTTCCTGCCGCCTTGGGCCTGTCCTGGTGCTGCACATCTTGTGCTGCGCTGTAACTGGAGCTTTAGATGGACTCCACGCTCGGCCAGGACGTGGAGGGCGCCCTGCTCACCTCTGTGTCAGCTCAGCTCAGTGTCTGGCCCAGAGTTCACGGATAACACACGCTTGTAATTCTTTAATGATTGAGTAAGTTAACATTATACAGGAAGAACTAATAGTAAGCGCCAGCTTTTTATTGAGTAGTTACTGTGCTCTGGGTACTCTAATTAATTTAGTTACTGTGCTCTGGGTACTCTATAATTTTTTACACACCTTATACAGATGGTTGTAATGCTAGGTTATGATTTACCTCATTTCTCATTTACTCCTCACGGTAATCCTGGGAGGTAAGTATTACTGTTACTCATTTTACAGATGACAAGCTGAAGCTTAGAGAGATTACCTGTCTGAGATCACACACTGTTTAACCAAGAGAGCCTGGACTTCAATCCATATCTGTCTGACTCTGGAGCCTGTGGTCTTTGTGCTTTAGCACACTGCTTCTCTGGAGATTTCCACAGTCAAGTCAAAGTGGAGAAATCCAAATTTACTGATCTTGAAAATTTTCCAAGAAGCCTGCCCCCGTGTTGTGACAGCTGGCCATAACAGGAGAGTAGCATCAACCAAAAAATAGGTTCACTTTTGCATTGTGGTGATTCCTTTCTGTTCACCTGCGTTTAGCATATGTAGAAGAACGTCAGCAAGGACTGGCATTAACCTTTTTAAAAAGAAGCAGCCTTTGTACAGCTGTTGTTGTAATAGCATTTGTCTTGGTTAACACCAGACAAAATTGGTCCGATTAGCCAGATTGGCTGGTTAGGTTCAAGTGTGTAACATGAGCACGTTGTGATGGTTGCTATGACCAACATTAGAAGTTGTGTTCTTAATGAGATGTGGATCTGGGTAATGGCTGAGAGCTAAGCTGGTTAATTAGAAGGCCCAGCTGGCGTTTCTGTTGACGGAAGAGACCGAGACGTTGAAACGTACTATGTCCTTCGGCCGCTGAGCAGTGGTTAAAGCTTTTCTTTTCATTACCTTCACTTTGCTTGCTCACTGGAAGTGCCATCCACTTGCAGAACTGTTAATTTGTATATTCAAGGGCATTAGCTTATCATATTAAAGGTTATATTTTACATTTTGAATAATACCAGGTTTGGTTTTTTTTTTAAACAGTAAAAACACACCTATAATTTACAGTAGGCTATTGTTAGAATTGTATTGTGATGAAAAGACTCTTGTATTCCCTTTTGCTGTGTCTATTAATGCCATTGATTAAATAAAATCTCTGTGGTTCTGGAAATGTAGATCCTTGATTTGATGGAGTATCCTTGGTAGTAACTGTTTTTTAGAAATGCAAGTTGACATTTCTTAACAGTTGACGTTGGCTGATATGAACGTCATAATTTGTAGATTCTTGAGAGTTTGGGGTAGAAGTAATAAAGGAGAAGTGGGTCTGACAAAACATAAGAACTCTGTGGCATTGATGTTACATAATAGGTCTGTTTCTCTCTCCTTTCAGACTGGTCGAATTGACAAATCCTACCCCACAGTGTGTGGTCACACAGGACCAGTGCTGGACATAGACTGGTGCCCACATAACGATCAGGTCATTGCCAGCGGCTCAGAGGACTGCACGGTTATGGTAAGTTCCCTCGGTGTGGCGGGCACACAGGCCAGCGAGACTCACCTACTGCCTTCAAAGAGTGTGTGTGTGTGTAGGCTTGAAATGCAGAAAATCATAGAGCTTTGATTGTCCATTGGACTATACAAGAATTTAGTGACACTGAAGTTTAACTGCAGATAAGCCGTTTTACAAGTTTATATCAGGGAGTTGTACTCTCTTGTCTTTTTCCTTCTTTTGCTTCTGTGTGTGCGCATACTTGTTAACAGTTGACACATCTGCTTGATGGGAAGATTTTAGGGAAAGTAAAATGACTTTCAAATAACTCTGTGAATGCCGTTACACCACATGACCTTCCTCCCCTCTAAAAAAGGAGAGATAAAATTGCTACCATGATATATTACAGTGCATATTACAGTGAAATACGATGCCAAAGGTTATATAGATAGATGGAATGTGAAACAGATATTGAAAGATAATAAAGAGTTTTTGTAGGTGCTTATTTCCAAGCTAATGTCTAGTGGACCCTGGTTAACGAAGTCGTTTTTATGCAGATATACAAATAACCAATTTGAAAGGTTGTTAAAGTAAGTTCTGTATGTTCCCCGGTTTAGATTCCAAAGGTAGGTTATGTATGAAACCAGGCTTTGGAGTACTTGTGAATGAAACCACGCTTTGGAGTACTTGTGAATGTGAAGCTTCTTGTTCTTGATTATGTTCTTCTTAGCCTTCAAATGTAATTATGAGTTTGGATCCATTTTTAATCCTAGCGCAACATCTGCTGCAAAGACTGGGCAAGAGCGCAGACAGGGAGCCCTGAAGTCATGCCTGGAGTGGATGCAGGTCGTCCCTCAGGCAGCCTCACACCTGGCAGGTGGAGAGCTGCAAGACCTGCACTCTGGTTATCCCCCTCTTGGTTTTCTGTGCACTGAACCAGACTTAGAAACATTGTTTGGAAGGCTTTGTTAATTGCAGTTATTTTACATAAAAGGAAATTAATTCCTGAACTGTGCCATTTAAACGTTTACCCATTTTTCCTCATGGACTTTTGGCTAAGGATAACTCCTCCTGTGATCTCATGATTTTGGCAGCCAAAGTGTATTAAAGAAATATGCTGCTATTAAAAGGAGTTGTTCCATTTAACATGCCTTGCTAAATTGATCATTTGAATGGCTGCAGACACATTTTGCTAAGGGGAAGGAACAGTATTTAGACCTGATGCCCAAATCTTAAACTGAGAGTCTTAACCTTTCTTGGAGAAGCGGGTTTGATCCATCCCTCCCCATCTCCAGCATTATTGGTCACATTGCCCTTTAAAAAAAAACCTTTGTATTATAAAACAGACTAAACGAGCAGTTAAGTGAGTTCAATTAAGTGAAAAAGTGAATTGAGGGACTTCCCTGGTGGCACAGTGGTTGGGAATCTGCCTGCCAACGCAGGGGACACGGGTTCGATCCCTGGTCCAGGAAGATCCCACATGCTGCGGAGCAACTAAGCCTGCGCTCTAGAGCCCGCGAACCACAACTACTGAGCCCACGCGCCTAGAGCCCATGCTCCGCAACAAGAGAAGCCACTGCAATGAGAAGCCCGCGCACCACAACAAAGAGTAGCCCCCGCTCGCCACAACTAGAGAAAGCCCACCCACAGCAACAAAGACCCAATGCAGCCAAAAATAAATAAATTAAAAATAAATAAATTCATTAAAAAAAAAAAGTGAACTGAGTTAGGAGGTTTATTACTGAGTGAACACCCTGTGACTGCCACCCAGGTCAAGAAATGGAACTTTCCCAGGCTTCTCAGTCTCTTCCCTGTGCCCCATCCCAGTCCCCATCCACCCCTCCCTCTCCAAGTAACCAGTAAAACTCACTTCCTTGCCTTTCTTTGTGGTTTTAATCACTCAAGTGTGCGTCTCTGGACGCTAGAGCTTAGTCTTCCAAGTTCTAAAAACTTGATATGCCTTTTAAGTCTTTCCTAATCTACAGGTTCCTCCTCCATCCTTTTCTTGTTGAAGAAGCCTGATCTTTGACCTGTTGCTTCCAGAAGTCCAGAGTTTGCTGATTGCACCCTCGTGGTCCAGTTCAACCTGCTACTCTGTCTTTCAGATTCCCTGCAAGTTGGCAGCTGGATGCTAGAGCATGATTAGATTCAGATTCCATCCCTTTGACAAGCCTAGAGCTCGTGCCTGGTCTCCCCTCAGGAGGCACGAGGTGTCAAGATGCCTGGTTTTTTGCTGTTTTTTGATTTGTGATTGATGCCCAGCACCTAGATCCAGCAACTCATTAGGGGGTCTCAAAATGGTGATATTAAATGCTGTGATTTTGTTTTCAGTTTTCAGCTGGTAAAATTTTTAAGGTGATGCTCTCTCCTATCTACTATTTAGTTACCCAGGAGTATAGTTCATATAGGAAAGCAGGATAAATGCTTGATTCTTTCCTTTTATTTACCCAGTTTTCAAAATAATGAATTGGTTCTTTATCTTCCTCAGAAGGTGACCAATTAGTTTTTCATTTGGAGGTTTTTTTCCCCCTTTCATTTCATTTTGAACTGAATGGGTTTCAATCTGTTACAATTCTTTTCTCAAAGCTCAGGGGATTCAGTCTGTGTTAATGGGAACCTCTTCACAGTTCCTGAGTCCTTCTGAAGTGACCCTACTTATTTCTGTTGCTTCCTTGCTCTTCTGTATGTCCAGGTGTCTCAGGCCCATCCCTGACCCCACACCTCAAATCCGCCACTTCTCTCAGAAGCTCTGGTTTGTTTTAATGGAAAATGGAGTTTCTAGATCACTCTCTGAGTGCTTAGGGATGCTCATTGTTACCGTAGCGATCATTGTTTTTAAGACTTTGCAGTAAATTTGGCTAGAATATACATATATATTTAAAGATATAATACCTTGTGACTTCGTCTTAATCTTTCCAGTTCAAATTCAGGACTGTATAGTTTTTACCTAACTTCTTTAATAATACATCTCTGCTCCTTTCTTTCACACCAAGAATCCTGGTTCTCAGGAGTTCAGGATGAATTAGAATATCCTAATCTATCTCATTTGCTTTTTCACAGTATACATACAATAGTCTCACACTAAAAATACTAAGAGTATCACCACCATTATGATTACTGAAAGCAGTTTAAAAAAAAAAAGGCACTTGGATCATCTGAAGCTCCTTCTCTAGTAGATTCTAGACCCCAGTACTCTGGAAACCAACCAGAGAGGGCTCCCTTCCAGGACAGGCCCCACCCTGAGGAGCAGTTCCAAGGGATGGAATCAAATAGGAAAGGCTTGTGGGAACTGTATTCTCTAAGTTCTTCTATATTGACAATAGCTTGTTGTGACCTTTATACTTAAAGGTGAATTTTTCTGGATATAAAATTCTTGGCTTGCAGTATTTCCTTGAGTGTCTAAATATTTCATTTTCTTTTGGCATAAAGTGTTGCTGTAAAAAATCAGATGATCAGAAAAAATCTGATTTTCTTTTCCTTATAGACTATATGTTCTTTTTGCCTAGATGTTCATAAGATATTTTTTTCTTAAAATGTAGTAATTTTACTAGACTATTGTTGGTATTCTGAGTTGGTATTTCTGTGTGTGATGTGCTCTTTCAATATATGGTTTCAGGTGCGGGGGGGCCCCCCCCTCCCCCGGGCAGGGAAGTTTTATTGACTTAGAGTCTTCAGTATTTGTTCTGTTCCTTTGCTTTGGTTTTTCCCTTCAGGGACTCCTGTTATCCAAATGCTTTATCTTATTTACCTATCTTCGATATTTGTCAGTTTCTCTCCAAACCTTTTTTCTTACTCATTTCTTTTAGGCTAAAATTTTTCTGCTTTTTACCTTTTATTTCTTTGGGGACATTATTTATGTTTATTTGCTCTTAGCTTCTTTGTTAGTCTTCGTTTCTAAAGTACTTTTCCTTTTATTTCTATTTTTTTTCTTGATTTCCGCCACCTTACTTTTGAGTTTTTCAAGTTCTGATTTATGTTTCCTGTCTTGTCTTGTTTTCTTAATAATGTCTTTCGAAATGTGTGTGATAGTTTTTATCTTTCTTTGGAGCTGGTCTTACTCGCATTCTTGTACTGTCTGCAGGGATGTATTCTCTTTTTTTCTCCTAGTAATTTTGGAGCCTTGATTTTTTTTTTTTTCTTCTCCCTCTCTTATTTTTATGTGAATTTAGTTTTCCCGAGCTTTCAGAAGCTGGCTTCCTTCATAAAGCTGTTCTAACTTCACAGAGCTCCCTCTTCTGTCCTTTTCAGGTAGTGTTCAGAAACATGGTGGCTTGCTGTCAGATTTCCTGACCTGCTTTTTTTTGGTCTTTCTGATTCCTTTGTCCATCTTATTTCTGTCCTGCTCAGATTTGATTCCATTTCTTGGAATTTCCACTCAGTGTGGGCCTGTCTCAGAAGGGAGTCCTCTCTGGTTGGTGTCTAGGGTATTGGGGTTTAGATTTCTCCAGCCCCTTCATACCTTTTTCGTTTCAGGTCCTTGTTCTCACCTGCTGTTGGAGAAGGCAAAGCTCCTTCCCGTTTCCGTTGTGGCCTCATATTGGCCTGCTCTTCTCAGATCTGTGGGGCACCCCATTGCTGCCCCATGATTTTTTTCGCACAGAGGCCGACAACACACGGGTTGTGTGGCTGTTGGTGGTTTTCCTCCACACACTTGCATTTGGGTTATCACCTAGTTTTGTGTATATATTGTCCCTGTGTTTTTGTTTTGTTATCTGCCTGCTCTGTGTTTTTCTTGAGGGACTTGGGAAGATCCCAAAACTGTGCTGCCACTGACACCACCATTGTCCCAGAATCCTCTGACGTTGCCCCTTTATTGGTATTGCCCGAGTGAACATTTTGTAAATTAAATAATGCTTTGGGATAAATCTTCCTCCTATTTTTTTTCACTCCCTTAACTATGGTGCTGATATTTTAATCACTTAATGTTTCCCAAATCATTTGTTATTATTATTGGGGTAATTACAAAATGCTTTAACAACTCAGCAGTTGAAATAAAATTTTAAAGAAGTATTTGATCTTCTACC